CTATTCTGCACATGTATTTATCTGCTGCTCTGCTCTCTCAAGATGCTGGCAATTTTATATTAGTCATCCTTCCATGCCCATTCCCCTCAGCCATGGGCTGGCAGTATCATTATTTTATGTCTTTATTATTTTAGGGCAGTTTTAGGGTAGGCAGTAATCAAGGCATTGAAACCAGAATTACCCACTGGCTCCAGGCCTTCTTTGACCCATGAGTCTGGTTGAGTCTGGTTTTTACTCAGCGCCACTCCCAGGAATTGCCCAAGGGTTTCTCTCCTTTAAGCATTTTTTTTAAAAAAAGATCTCCAACATAACCAGAGATTTTTCAAGTAAACATTTTATTTGGAATATAATAGACACAGAAAGAGGCAAATATCATAAGATAGAGTTGTGTGAATTTTAGGCAGCTTTTCACTAACCAAATCAAGATATAGGGCATCAATAATACCTAAAAARCCTTCCTAAATGACCTCTCAAAGGTGTTAATTTCTAAAGGTAATTTTTCTGACTTCTTTTACCAGGGATTTTTAGTTTGTCTTTTTAAAGAGTTATATAATGTATGTTGACTGGCTTMTTTCATGTAATGTTATGTTTGTGAGATTCATCATTCATTTATTTGTGTTGCTGTACATAGAACATTACAGGTATGCCTCATCTGAGACGTGCTTACCTTTTCTACCATTAAAGGCCATTTAGGTTGTTTTTGATTTGGCACCACATGAACAGTGCTGCTATGGAAATCTTTGACACRTCCTTGTGTTCACAGATGTGTGCTCTTCTATTGGATAATAGGATACATGCTCTGCTTCTATAAGTATTACCAATGTATTTTCTCATGTACCAATTTATACTCTCACTTATAGTGCTATGAGAGGTCCTGTTTCTCCATATCTTTAACAACCATTGAGATAATTTTTTCATTTCAACAATTTTAGTAGATTTGCAGTATCTCATAATGGTTTCAATTTACATTTTCCTGATGAAGAAAAAGGCTGAATACTTGATCTCTGACCATTTAAATATCCCATTTGTTAAATTCTTATTCGAATCTTTATTTTAATCTGTCTTTGTCTTGAGAGATGACCAAAAACCATTTACTTCACAGTTTGGGGTAGGGGCTTGCCTATCTTAAGGAGAAGTTCATCTCTTTTAGAACGATGCTGTCCAATACAGAGGATAGTAGCCACATGCAATCAGTCCTCTGTATTCCCGGGTTCCTCATTTGCAGATTTAAGCAATTGAGGATAGAAAATATTAGAAAAATTTCCAGAAAGTTCCAAAAAGTGAAACTTGAATTTGCCATGTTGCCCAGTGTTCTGCTGAATCCATGCATTAGGCATGGCTTTAGGTATTTTAATATCTAAATAGAGTTTAAAGTCTGCCTAGGAGGGCTGTAGGCATCATGCAAATACTACTGCATTTTACATAAGGATGCACCTTTTACATAACACTCCACAGTCCCATTGTACTAGGCAGTAGGACATGTTGCTGAAAGACTTGGAGACAGAGTGTAAGACATAAGGTTTATTGAAAACTGCTTATGTGGAAGGTCCAGTGGTGAGGGGCTGGAAGCATAGCTCTTCTGTCCTTTATGGTGCCTTGCCAGAAAGCAGTGACTATCCCTCACTGTGCTTTGTCCAGTGGCAGCTGGCTGGATGAGCACTGATCTCCTCCACAGCTCTCTGCTCCATGGTAGTTACTGCAGGGAGAGGAGAATCAATGAGTCAGGCTACAGAAGCAGTGACATCATTAGCTTGCTTCCTCGAATGATGTGACCAGCATTCCAAGGAACTTGACATACATGCAAGAAAGCAGCTTTCTAAGATAACACTAATTTGTCCTAATTCTCAGCATGCCTGAGAGAAAGTCAGTGTCCTTCAAGTAACACTTATCTTGACCATCTGGCTGGGGCCCACTCATTGTTCCCTTGAGAGGGTTAGATTCTTGGGAATATAAAGGAGCATTTTAGGGATGTCATGTTTTACTSTTCTTTACTCCAAGACCAACACAAAGGGATTTGAGCATCCATGGGTTTGGATATCTGCTGGACAGCCCTGGAACCAATCTCTTGCTAATTTTGAGGGACAATCCTATGACTGTTGAGTACTTGAAATATGGATAGTCCGAGTTAAAAGGTGCTGTCAGTGTAAATACAGACAAGATTTTAAAGGGGGTAAGAAGAATGCAACATATTTTAAGGTATTGGGCCAAATAAAGCATATTATTAAAATGAACTTCAATGCTTCTTTTTTACTTTTAGTAATGTGAGAATTTTAGGAATTTTACAATTACATATGATTTTCATTATGCATCTATTAGAGTTGTTCAGAACTACTAGTATATTAATTATGGTGGAAAAAGAAAACAAATGCTTGGATTGTCCAAAAAAAATCACCTTTAAATTTTAGGTAATAAAAATAAGTGCTGGATTTAAAAATGTGTTATTGCTTGATTGCGAATTCCATGGTCTCAGCTTGAGTTTTTCTTCATTTCAGAGAAACGCTGTGATTTTCCCACGGTAGAAAATGGAAGGCTTGCCCAATATTACTATACTTTTAAGAGTTTTTACTTCCCAATGAGCATAGACAAAAAGTTGCCATTTTTCTGTTTGGCTGGCTACACAACTGAAAGTGGGAAACAAGAAGAGCAAAGCAGATGTACAGCAGAGGGCTGGTCTCCAGAACCAAGGTGCTTCAGTAAGTGAGCAGTTGTGTTAACACAACGAGGGATGGCTATGGTGCTCCAAGAAAYTAGTTTATTGAAAAAGCTAATTTATTTCTATGAAAAAAAAMCTTTTGGTAGATAAGAACAAAATTACTAGCAAACTTTCTTTGTAAAAAATGCTGTATCTGAAATAGTATAAATAATGTTTTCATTTTAAAATGTTATTTTCTATATATTTTTTAAAATCATATACAGTGAAGGGAACAAGGGTAATAAATGAAACTGTTATATGGAACATTTTGCATAATAGGCCAGGAAACATACTTATGAAACATTCTCAGCAAGGACAAGGTTGTTATTCCAGGGCCTATCATTTGCAAATTCCTAACTCCTTTGAGTGCCAACTTCTAATACCGATTAAAAATTCTGAGTCCAAATTTGTGAGCCGGTATTATGATAGGTTCATCTCATTATTTAATTGAAAAATGTTACAGTCAATTTATTGGTGGGCTTCCAGTGGTTCAGGCRAACTCTCCTAAGCTAAGAATTCCCTAAGCTCTGTTTTCCAGAGTAAAAGGCTTTGCTTGGGTCTGTTTCATTTAGAAGAGGAGGTTGGGAATGGTAGTAACTGTGGTTGATATATCATATCCATTTGGGATAATTATCCATTCTGTGGCTTCAGGACAGCTCATACTTTAGGCATTGCACTTTTGGTATTAACACAGAGCATACATTAACTCTAGTAAATAAATCCTATTTATAACTAAAGCATAGAAATAAATTATAAGCCCTAGATTTATTGACTCTTTTATCTTGGAAAATAGAATATTGAAATATGAGCCAGAAGAAATTAGCATGGTAATTTAATGGTTTAGATACAAATCTCTGCAGTCAAACTGATGGTATGTGAATTCAGCTCTGCTACAGGGAAGTGGTTTGAACATTAGTTTCTTATCTGTACAATGGAATTGGTATTGCTTCAATGAGATAAGCTTTACATAATGTTGGACATACTGCAGATATTAAAAATATTTAAACTTACATGAACCTTGGACAAATTTATTAACTCTTCTGAATTGCTTTGTTATGAAGGTCTAATAATATAGCTTATAAAAATGATAGATTTACACAGAACGCTATAGAAATTTATTATGTTATATGTTCTTGTTGCAAATATTTACCAAAAATAACTTTGTTGTATGATTTAGTCACAGTTTAAATGGATTAAATACTGAATCCTGTGCTGCTAGGTGATCCTAAAATATTTTAAATAAATATTAATTAATTAAATAAATATTTTAAATAAATAAAGATTTATTTAAACTATATATTCAATAGAATGAAAGAACAGTTTTCATATTAATCTAAGATGTTTGAAGAATTATTTATGGATCCATCCAGCTGGGGATGTTGCTCAATGGTAGAGTGACTGCTTAGCATGTGTGAACTTACAGTCTAAAAGTAGGTAAGGTTAGGAATGAATATAAGGATTAAATTTAGTAAATATAGAGACAGTTAGTGTCAAACTGAATCCATTTTCAAAGAAATTTTATTCATGACCTGTAAGATTATATTTCCAAAATTAAATCAAGGAATTGTGGAGAGAAACATTATTTCTCTCTCCTCATTCAAATTCCAATTAAGAGTGATATGAAATGTTTGTTTTCATTTTGCAATTTAATAAAAGGCAAGCTTCATTTCATCACTAAGTTAAACAAAGAAATCCTCCCCCACAGGAAAATGCACTAAGCCTGACCTAACAAATGGCTATGTCTCTGATGTAAAATTCTTGTATAAAATTAAAGAGAATATGCGTTATGGTTGTGCTTCTGGATATAAAACCACTGGAGGGAAGGATGAAGAAGTGGTGCAGTGTCTTTCTGATGGATGGTCTTCTCAGCCAACCTGTAGGAAGGAGCATGGTAGGTATCTAAGAATCTTATCTTAAGACCGAGGATAAGAGCTTGCAAAACTAGTGTTCCCTTCTATGGGCAGGTATATATATATATATATATATATATATATATATATATATATATATATATAATCTCTTTTAAGTTATTGGTGAGGTTCCTAAAATAAATAACTTTAAATTTTCTAGAAACATGTTTGGCCCCTGAATTACATAATGGAAATTATTCCACAACACAGAAAACATTCAAAGTGAAGGATAAAGTGCAATATGAATGTGCTGCTGGCTACTACACAGCTGGAGGAAAGCACGCAGAGGAGGTGGAATGCCACACGTATGGATGGTCTCTCACACCAAAGTGCACCAGTAGGTTCTCACGTTCAACACAACTTACT